AAGAATAACAATTAAAGATTACTTGCATTGAGAAATAAAAGATAAACTATGGCCACAGTGGCGAGGCAGTGCTGGAAATTTAATACATGAAAATAAATGAACGACTACAACTAAAATGCAGAGGTAAGTGGCTAGAGACTTCTACAGTACTAGAGCTCTCTTCTCAAATCAAATCCCAATGTATCTTTATATGGTGTAAGAAGGGAGACGAATAAACCATTTTAACCAAGGATTTCTGAAGGATTTGAATCCTTTTAAAACCCAAAGTCCAAATGCTTCCTCCCATGCTATTTTCATGAATGTTCATCTTCCACTTTTTCCTTTAGAAGTCTCAGGATGGCCATTTTTTAGAATGAAATATTTTCACCAAGATTCGGCTTTTGCTTTTGTCTTCTCTTCATATTCCTTTATATTCTAGAGTTTGACCTTCAATAATGTCATAATGCAGCTGAAATAAGCAGAAGAATACATGCAAAAAATGACATTCTCTAGTTGTCCTCGAATTTACGTTGCTCACCATAATAGCGACACAGTGGCTACTTTTCATAGTCCAACATTCAACCCAAAAATGATGCGTCCAACCATCAATACACAAATTTTTATCCTCAACAACTCCAAATGAAAATAAATAAATAAAATGGAGAGACGAACATATAAAGAGGAAACATATAGTAAAAGGAGAGAAAGCACATAAAACAATGTGTAAGTAACACTCAAAATGAGAGTTATCAATAGCACATACTACAATATAGGTGTCCTAATAAACCGCTTTATAAAACAATTTAGATAGGAAACTTTATTATATGATCCTACAAATTAGGTCTTATAAGGCACTTTTTTTAGGATACTTAGACATTTTTGGCTTCCTATAAACCCAATTTTGTTGTAGTATCAATTGGTAAGATCTTGAGTTTATCGTCTAGAGTTCATTAGTGCAGGTCTCCTCGAAACCATTGAAAGGTTTGTATGGATGATAACTTTAGGTCCCTACAATAATAGTTGAGATATGTGCAAATTGGATCGGACATCCACAGTTAAAAAAACACACACGCTAGAGAAACAAAATGTTGAATTGTAAAACCAAATTGATATTCGTCTTGTAAAAGATAGTCAAACCATATGTACCAATATATCACTACAAAACAAAGAGGTTTCACGGACAGAAAAATCCGTCAGTACTTCGTCGGAAAAAAGCTATCACCAATGGATCTCATCACTAGAGAAATGTGGTCGATGATTGTAATTACTAGTGGATTTTCAATCACCGATGGACAAATCCATTGGTAATTCGCCGACAATGGTCATCCGCCGCTGATCTGCTGGAAATTACTAGTGGAAAAATCCGTTCGAAAAAATCTATGGGTAGAGCCTCTTTATTTTATAGTGTATCTCATATGAAATTATGGCCCAAAGGGATTTGATTATAATAAAAGCATGAGTCATATTGCTCTGAACTGAATATGGAAGAGTTTTACACAAAGATACTTATCTAATTTATCTCATAACCCTTTAACCTTGTGATGGTATGCCTTAATAGACATATGTAATTAATCTAATTAATGGAGAATACAATATCTGCCTGCAAAGGTGATCTTTTGGCTAACTCATTCTATGCAACGATTACACTGTTTAAGATCCTTAAGTTGTCACTGAATGTTAAAGATCTTGGAAATGATCCGTTGGTTCCATTAGGGTCTACAAGATGTGTATAACAATTTGTAGAAAGGGGGGATGAATACAAACACATGAAATTTTTTAAATTTAAAATATATATTGATTAAGAAGGATAAATACAGATTTTACAAGATTGTTTGCGGAAAGATAAGGTAAGAATAACCTATCTAAACAATCTAAGTTACACACTAATTCTTAGCAAATAGAGAAAAGATTTGCTGTAAAAGACATAGAAGAAAGTAAGTTCTTTATGGGTAACAACTATTTAGAATACAATAAAGGGATTCTAACTTGCTTTTGAAGATAAGCGTATTGTGTTCTTAGATGTGTGTTCTTTTACTTATGAACGTAAGTTAGAGTTCAAGAGTAAGTATATAGTATCTCTGCATGGAGTTAGAATACATCTATTTATACCCATTGCATTAAATGCACATTTAATGCAACGTAGTAGGGTTTGAACACGTGTCAAGCCTTTAGAGAAAGACTTGTCCTTTGCTACAATGAATAATACAAAAGCATATTAATGAGCAGACATCCTTTCATAAAGTTGGTGGGTAGTAGAGTCAACTAATTGGCTCTGTACGGTACTATACTTCAGAAAAGGTATGGCTTTGTCCTTTGTGTGTATAAGGACAAGACAAAAAACAATCATGCTCAACAAGCTTCTTTTGATCGTTGAATGTTGGAATAACCTGAAGGTCTCTTCAGCATTCGCCGAGGCTTGGCAGTCTTCACACATATGTAGACCAGGTTGTAATCATTGAATACCGCTTCAGATCACGTACTCGCCACTCTCTAATCTTCAGTTTCAGTCTTCGACTTTTGCTGAAGGTTCTTTGGTGTGAGTTTTGTCTTATTGAAGTATCGTTGTTGCTGATGGATTTACATTACATGTTCTTCAACGATCACTGAACAGACTCAGTGATGATCGTTGGAACTGAAAGACATAAACATACAATACTTCGTATAAGGTAAAAGAGATTATCATCAAAATACTGAGAGAGAGAATCAACATGATCATGTTCGCAATTCTTATCCAAGTTTTTGTTGCCTACAAGTCTGTGAAATGAGCATCAAACCTATTGTAACTGTTTATTAGAGATAAAGAGAGGACGAAGGTTTGAACATCCCAAATCCAACTGGGGTCACTGTGAAAAGTTGTCTCAACTTTTCACGAATGATCATAATGACATTAAAAATATAAAAATACTATACTTAATTCACTATTACATTACAAAATGGAAGTCAACTTAAGTGTTTCTATTGTCGTTGTCGTCTTATTCCATGTGTTTTTTCTGATGTTGATTTAGTCATACAAAAAGCTATAAAATTCCCGACAAGCTTTTACTTTTGACTTGTGTCATTTTAGTGTTATATTGCATAACAATGAAATATAATAAGTCATTCTATGGGAATAAAAATATGGTGTTTAGTCAAAGCATCTAGAAAACAACGGAATCCATTTGATCAAATTCGACGTTTTCATTCATTAATTCCAAAACATTTTTGGTCCTACAAATTCATTAAATAAGAAATTTCGAAAGTTCATTTCTCAAAATAAGAAAATTTAGAAATTAATTCTCAAAGAAAATAAAAACGAAGTTGGTTTTATTTTAGTACAATTTGCTTTAAATTAAAAAAAATATATTTAAATTAAAGTATAGTTGTTTTATTAAGTTCTTTCGTATCATTTCAAAATCGATCGAAACAAATTAAATACGAAAAATGTTATCATATCAATTTTGTTATATATATATATATATATATATATATATATAGAGAGAGAGAGAGAGAGAGAGGGGGGGGGGGACAGTTCATACGAGAACGGTAACCAATAAGAGAATAAAAAAACAGTCAAATCAAATGTGATTTTACACTAGAATCACGTGTAAAATCAGATGTAATTCACTCAAATATCTCAGACCACTTCGCCCGCACACCTTTATGTTGACCATTCGTCTCTTTTAATTTGGTTATCGTTCTCGTTTCAACCCCTCTATATATGTATGTATATATCAACACGTGAATGATTGTGTGAGAAAGAGAGTTAAAGTGGGAAAGGTAAGAAAGGATCTAGACCTTGATCACCTTTAATCTCAAACCCACCCATGGATCGTGTTTGATGAGGAGATTAATCCGGTGCATCTCATTCTAATGTCCATCCAAGAGTGTAGAGATTCCTCCTTACACTTCTCACTGAAACCCAACTCTATATCAACAAATCAAATGAGTAAAACTATAAATAAAATAAGAAAGAAAAAAAATTAAAAGAGAATTATATCAACCAAAATATAATCAAAACAAATGTTTACATCCTTTAAAATTATGCGGTTAAGAAACTAAAGCAAATTGGGGGTATTTAAGATTGCTTATTTGAAACAACTTATGTTTTTTTTACAAAAGTGCTTATCAACTTATTATAAGTTAGAATTTTTTAACTTATGCAAAAACTTCTTATTACCGGTTTGACACCGATATAAGTTGTTTATACAAACACTCAAAAATGCTTACTACCGGTGTCACACCGGATAAGTCAATAAGTTGTTTGATCAACCCAACCCGAAACAACTCATCCTGAAACTTACCCATTTAACCAAGATCCATTTTAACTCCATAAATTTTCACATATCAAAGGTAGAGTCTTGAAAGTGAGATTGCATATAGAACTATCCTCTATCTCATCCATAGACCAGAGATATAGAGTCTGAAATATGAGATATATAAAGAATTGTCCTCTATTCCATCCAAATACCAGACGTGGAGTTTGAAAAATGAGATGTATTCAGAACTGTCCTCAATTCCATCCACTTACCAGAGTTAAAAGAGTCTGGAAAGTGAGATGTATTCACCATTGTCCTCAATCTCATCCACATACCAAAGAAAGTGAGAAGCATACAGAACTATCCTCTATCCCATCCAGAGACCGAGATGGGGTCTAAAAAGTGAGATGTAGGGGCCATTTACCAAACACTTACCAGGGTAAGCGCTTACCAAGTCACATCACCTAACCAGATGAATATAGTAAGGACTAAGAATCTTACCGGTAAGAGCGAGACAAGGATCATGAGTCTTTCCCGGTAAGTGTGGGCGACGACTCTTACCATGGTACCGAGTGAATTCTTGCATACAATGTTGTTTTGATGGATTAAAATCTCATCCGGTAAGTAAATAATAATGTTAAATTTTACCGGTAAGCACTTATCGGATAAATGTTTGGTAAGCGGTCCCGTATTCAGGACCGGTCCTCCCAGCCCCAAAAAGTAGACCATCATGTCTCCAATGTTAAACAAGAGTTCAAAGAGCCAAAAAGGGTAAATAAGCAACTGTAGAATTTCATAGATAACCACAAAAATGAAGCTAAATGATCAATCTTCATGTCTCACTGTACAATGAGGATACTCGATATCGCTCTCGACCCTAAACACGAAATCGACATGGAAACTCTACGAATGTTTAGACCAAAAAGTCAAAGTTTCAAAGTAAGATCGGGTATAGCCCCCGAATCTCTACCGGTTGGTGGGGGCATTTCTGGGTGTTTCGTGTTGTGGTAACTACTCGAACCACCACCACCACCAGCATCGCCAACACAATCAATTTGCCTGAAACTACCTGGCCAAAACACTTCCGCCTCATCGTCCTCCATGAACATTGGCAACCCAAGATAGCTTTGGTCAAATCTCGCTCCACCTCTCATGGCGGCAAATGGCGATTGTTGAGGTACAATCCCTTGATGCAATGAAGCGTGTGCTTCGATACTTAGAGCCCGAAACGTGGATCCGTGAAGAGGCAATGATGCTAGACTTGCGTATCTTTCTGATAACATTCCCATCCTCATAGCTCGTTTAGCCATCGTCCTTTCTCGTTTGTGTGCGTTTTGATGACCGCCCAATGCTTGCGAGCTATAGAATTTGCGCCTACAGTAATTGCAGGAAAAAACACGGGGGACTGGAGGTCCCGAGCCCGTGTTTGTGGGTGCTGCCGCCACTTCCGTGGTGGCAAGTTCAGGTGTCATGGGGTTGAAGCCGAGGGTTAGGTCGAGAGTGACGGATGGCAGCGGTGGTGTTGGCTGAAGATGTCCAGGGTTTGTGAGGCGGGAAGAGGTGGTGGTGCCACCATCCACCGACATGCTTGATGCTACTTGACTGCTCATTTCCGATTCTTCTTCAGATTCAAAGACGTAATTTGGAGGTTCCATGTTTTCTTATAAATATTTATGCCAATCTTAATCGTCGACACCTGCAAAAGAAAATGTGATAACCAGATATTAACAAGATTCGCAGTTCGCAAGAATTCCGTTTTCTAAACTTAATACCGATAGGGGTTGTTTGTTTACCTCTTAATAGTTCCATTAAGAGGCAGTCTCTGAATCGTTAAGAGGTGAATCTTGTTTGACCAAAAAAAAATCCGTCTCTTAATGGTTTTAAAACCCTCTGAATGATTTTGTATCTCATGCCTCCCTTAACCATTCAGTACCCTAATTTCATTCTGAATAATTACCAAACAATTATATTTCATTTTGTATTATATTACAAGAGTCTCTTAATCATTTTGACTACTTAATCATTATGCACCATACCATTCAGCAACCGTAAAACATCCGTGTCAGACACAAGTAACCTTACCTGTTACTCCACAATTTTATTTTCTATTTTTAGAGCAAGAAACTTGATCAAGGCATAAGTTCTTGAGCCACAAAAACGACCAACCCTTTTAGGCAGCTTAACAAAAAGGACTAAAAAAGCGGTAACCATCCCATGAACTGATATTTCAAGAAAACACACACACATAAATACATACATACACACATAAACACATACATACACACATAAATACATACATACATACATACATACATACATACATACATACATACATACATACATACATACATACATACATACATATATATATAGGGTATATTTCTTTTACAACCTTGTGTATTTGTACAACCCTTGCAACTCAATTAATTGAGATATTTATAGAATTAATGGAAGTTCATTTATTATGATTTAAATATTTATGGAATATGAATAGAGTTCATTAATTATGATTAATACTTTATATCAGGAAACAATCAAAACTTTTATGAAATCACATATTCATCAAATGAAATGGACGGTTGAGATTGAGTTGTATTGGTTACATAAATGTTAAGGGTTGTATAATAACCAACCTCTCTCTCTCTATATATATATATAACTTTAATTGACTCAAATGTGTCAAACTAGCTACCCCCTTAGTTCTAAAATTAAAGGGTATAAGATTTGACTTTTAAGGTCAAACGAGCCATTATGGTGATATGAATCTATGATAGAAATAAATGTACGAATCAAAAATCCTACAAAACCACCAAAATAATGAAGTTCTAAATCTACAAAACCAAAATCATGACAATCTTGAATTCAAGAAACGTGAAGTTTGCGTGTGCAAGTCAAAATGTAACATTTACAGGTCAAAATGTAACTACTTTTATAACGGGATGTAAAGAAAAGTCGAAAGCAAACAATGGCAAAGCGGGAAAGCGGGAAAGCATCGCATTTGCACCGAAAGATTGAATATTTGACGAAAACACGGAAGAAATTTCTCAAAATGTTTTACAAAATATACCGCTTCCTGAACTTGATGCAAGTTCTTGAAGTTACAAAATCTTCTATTAGATTCATCAAGATCGATATGATCGTTTCTTGACATTTGGCATGCCCATTTGGACTAGCGTACCCGAATTTCGGATACGCAACAGGTTCTAAATTGTAATACCAAAATTATGCGTGTTCTGGTCAAATACCGAAATGCATCAAAGAACAGAAGATTTTACGCTCTTGGTTTACTCACCTTCCAGCCTAAGGTCTTCAAGGAAACAGTAGTTCTACCATTTGGGATACCACACATCCAAGACGATGTTTTTAGTGGGATATATCGGGTTTGTTTGGTTAATTGGTTTAATGTACGGAAAGGATTGGGTTCAAAACATCTTCCCTTGGCTAATTCAAAACAAAATTCATCAAAAAAAACCAAAATGAAAACCCATTAGAGGTTTCACAACCAGAAATGAACCGATCCATTTCAAAATCCTCATTGCGGACTTTCAACAAACAGTTACAGATCCATGCTTTTTCAGTGATAATTGGGACTCAATAACAATGAAAAATCTTTGTCTATAAAACCAATCATCATAATTCCCCAACTACGAAAAGGAGTGATTGCAAAAATTTGAAGAATCGAACCTTGCCCCAATTACAGTATATTTTTTTTCTTTTTTGAAGATTTCTGCTCATAAAACCAATAACTACTATACGAACCTTAATCACTTCATCATTCTAAAATTTACAAAGGTACCCACATAGAAAATCGTAAAGAACAAGCAGTAACAAGTACCAACATCTGCACCAAATACAGAAATTCAAAGTTCATCTACAAATAGCACATGGGATTACTCACAATCACAAGAAAAAAAACACAAAAAACACCAAGAAACCAAAATCCAATTTCAAAAGTAACGACACAGAAGAACTTTAAAAGGGGTTGAAATACCTGTCGTATAGTATGGTATGAGGGTAGTACTATAGCTTAGTACTCTTCTCAACCGCTTAAAGTTGAATATGATTGATGGATTGCAAAACAGGTTGTGGGTTTTTTCTAGGTTTTGCCAAATATGGTGAGAAGATGAGAGGTAGAACATATAGAATGAAGCTATTATTGGGATAAGATCATACCATACATACATACATACATATTATCAGAGAGAGAGAGAGAGTGTGGTCTTATGTCAGGAAGTGAAAGAGAAAGAGGAGCCAAATAATTAAAGAATTCAGAATGATTGATGGATTTTTGGGGATTTTTAAAGTTAAACTGCTACTAGTGTTACAGGTGAAAAGCATGTTAATCCCCAAAAATTCCGCTTTATATATTTTGTAAATATTAATAATTTTTGGAAAAATTACATCAAAATAAAATCAATTTTAACTTGATTTTTAAAGAATTAATTTTTAAAATTATTATTTAGGTGTTTTTATCAAACTTTTTGTTTATTTAAAAGTTTAGTTGATCTGTTGAAAATATAACAGGTAATTTAAGAGTTTCTATCAAACATTTGATTTGATTTCCCAAATTTGATAATATTGATACGGATTGGTTATATATAAAAATCTTGAATTTGATATTTAATATTTATTTTATTGAATTAATTAATTTTTTTCTATTAAATTGATTTTTTATTGCAATAGTAAAAAACAATTTTTATCGTGTTAATTTGGATTTTTTTGAAAAAAAATCTTCAATTTGATATCTGAATTTAAAAAAAAAAAACGAGATTTAAAATGAAAAATAGATTTTATTGCATTAATTTTTGAAAAAAAAAACGAATTTTAGTTATTTTTCTATAATTATTTTGCAAGTTGGTTCCCCAAAATAGAAATCAGGTGTAAGTTGGTTCCCCAAAATGACGATTTTGAAAGTTGGTTCCTTAAAATAGGAATTAGGTGAAAGTTGGTTTCATTTTGATGTAATTTTCCCATAATTTTTTTTGTAAACCTGGGTGAAAAATGTAATTTTTTTTACGAAAAGGGGTAGAAAGTGTAATTTTTTGTCTTTTAGCTAGGTCTGCAATTGCAGATGTGGGTTTTGCGGATCTATTGCTATTTTGGTAAACTTTGAGAAAAAATGACTAGGAGATTAAACCAACCCTGAAAAATGACTATTTTAATAAATTTCCCAAATAAACATGGTTGTTAATAACTTTTTTATTCATTATTGTGTAGCAATTAAAGGGTCGTTTATTAAATGTTTACCCGGTAAATGCTTAGTGAGTAATTTTTCTTCCCGTATGAACATGACAAGGGTCAAAAATCTTACCCGGTAAGAACAATGATAAAATGAAGAGTTTTACTCGGTAAGTGATGGTGACGACTCTTACCCGGGTAAGTGCTTACCGGGTAAATTGTTGCACACGAAACCATTTTCTTGTACTACAATCTTACCCGGTAAAATAAATTACAGTGTTGACTCTTAACGGTAAATGTTTACCGGGTAAGCATTTGGGTAAACGGTCCCTAATTATAGCTTGTATGTAAGATAATATACCGTGTATTAATCAACTCTATTTAATATCAATTTTTTCCGGTTGCTAATGTTGGTTTTGGGTTTTTTTTTATCAATTTCAAGTTATATATATATATATATATATATATATATATATATATATATATGAAAACTTCTCGTTTTGTTTAAATTTTGAGTTTTCAAATAACATAGATGATATTTAAGGGTTTCTAATTTCGAAGAATAAAACTTGCAAATATTCAAATATTTAAAATTTACAGTGTTTAATATGCAAAACATAAAAATACAAAAAATAATATATATATTTAATAAGTCGGTACCATGGTATTATCATATATCAACCAAGTTTGCATATTTGATATGCTACTAGCAACCGACTATAATTGGTACCAATTTAATTAATACAGTTGGTACACATGTTTGACTGGTTTTGTTTGGTATAAAGTTGTCATCCCTAGTTATTATGTGTTGCTATATGCACTCAAATTCATATCAGAATCAGATTAAATCATGTATTGGAAATATAAAATGTATGTCTTGATGTTGATGTGTACGATGAGAAAATTAGTAGGTAAGGTGCATTTAGCCGACCCCTTGTTATTATTTGAACTTCTTTCTGTTGGTTTTCTTTTATATTTTCTCTGTATTAAATTAAGTGTCTACATTTCTATATTAGTTGTCTTAAAATAAATGTCTCTTTCGAAAATATAAGTGTCTACCCATACATTATACTCTTAAGGATCGTTTACCAAACACTTATCAGATAAATGTTTATTGATAAAAATCACCACCCTCACTTATCTTATCATGTAAGATTCTTGACCATTAAAATGGTATAGTAATATTATCGATAAGTGTCACTAAGCGCCAACCGGGTAATATTCACAATCCTCACTTACCGGGTAAGATTGTTAGCCCTTGTGTTGTTGCTTATCAAGTAAGATTGTTGGTCATTACTATACTCATAGCCATGTTGGTCATTAATGTATCAGGTATGATTGATTGTCTGTATGTATAATGTTGTTGGATGTAAGATTTTATTGTAAAATGATAATAATAATAATTGCAATTTCTCATTAAATAAGAAACTTTGAAATATCGTAGAGTTTGAGAACGATAAAACTGATTTAATTTTTTCTTCCTACAGAACCTTCCTAGCTAGTCGATTATAGGTAGCTCTTATTTTGAGTTAAGATGACGTAATTAATCGATTTCTAAAAATTCGAGGGTTTGTTAAAAAAATATACAAAGATCTAATCATCCAAAACGAGCATGTTCAATCGTTTTTCCATTCGGAAAAAACCCAGACGTTTAATTTCCAAAATGTGAAAATTTGTTAGATTTTTTCTAGAATTTTCCTCGTAAAACAACCAGCTTATGACATACTAAACATTTCCAAAGAAGGTGGTGGAAATTTCATTTTGGTTTCCTAAAATGAGATTATTAATTAATTTTCTGAATTAATAACGTAATTAAATTTGTTTGGATTTTGATACAGTTTGCGTCGTAATGTAACTGCAGTAGGGTATCGTTGGTGAGAAATATGAAGTTCAAGTCAACTTACTGATGATTAGAATGAAAATTAAACAGATATCATAGTATTCAGTTTTTAACAGTTCGTTTAAAAAATCATCGTAAAAAGTATTTAATATACGACTTTAATTTTTTCTTTTACGAACGTTATCTGGTATTTACAATGTATAACGACTATCTTTTGAGATAATTGGTTTTAAGAAAAGTATAAACAAGAAACCATGTCTACTTAGAAAAGCAAATAACTGATATAAAGTAACAAACAAAAGGAGAAGTTTATTACTGTTGTTATTCAATGCAGTGTTAGAAACACGCTTTTTGTGTCTTGACATCAATCGTAAGAATTTCAAAGGGATACGGTTCCAGTGAGAAAAAGAGTTAAAATAAGAACTATAAAAAGGATAATGAAGTAAATAAAGATTCGAGTTTAACAAGTAGCATAAGAAAAATATCATTACGATACTATTTTATTTTTTTAATTAAATATTTTAAAATGTTATTTGAATGCATTTATTGAGTTTTAGGTGCCGCTTTCAAATATTTACCTGGGTAAGTGTTTACCGGCAAAATTCAAAACTATCAATTACTTACCGGGTAAGATATTAGTCCACCAAAATGGTATCGTATGCAACAATTAACCCGGTAAGTGCTAACCGTGGTAAGAGTCGTCGCTGTCACTTACCGGGTAAGACTCTAAGTCTTTGCCTTAGCTCTTACTAGGTAAGGTTCGTGGCTCTTGCAATGTTGATTCAGTAAGGTAATGTGACTTGGTAAGCACTTACCTGGATAAGCGTTTTGTAAACGGTCCCTTAATGTAAGTTGTTAAAATTACTCGTTTGACCCGTTTGAGATACGTAAATAAAATGATTCAGATCTATAGAATTTTAACATAAAGTTTAGAATTACATGGATTACTCTGTATACAAGTGGCAAATAAGTGGCTAGGTTATCACTTCGGGCTACGTGCAAAGCAGGTGGTCGCCCTAGAATTAGTTGGCTCGCATAGCGGTTTGGATATTCAGGTTAATAAAAAAACATATTTTAAAAAGTCTTTTTTAACAGTAAAAACCTATTAATGGATTATGCATTGAAGATGCTCTAAGAAAAGCAAACAACTGATATAAAGTAACAGACAAGAGAACAAATTTATTGCTATTGTTATTCAGTGTCACGTTACAAACATGCTTTTATGTCTTGACATCGATTGTAAGAATTTCAAAGAAAGGGATAAAAGTATACAAGTGTCGTGATTAGAGATTTATTCTGTAAGATTTGACCTGTCAAATTTTCCATCAAAATGGCAGAATTTCATTCCAATTTTATTTACGTTTTGTTCTTTATATTGTCGAATTGTTAAAAAATGTTACGTCATACATGCATAAAACGGGGAACAAAGTTAAAGTATGTTTGGCGTGATTTATGCCTTTTAAGAAAATCATTAAAATGACGTTATTTTATGTATAGTTCACATACTTAGAGGTGTTCATTGCTTGAAATCCAATGCATTTAGTTGGATTAGATCCCATCTATTATTCAATCAGACCAGTTCCATCAATTTGGATATTTTTTTTGATTAACCTGGATATCCAACCCGTTATGCGAGCCGACTAATCCAAGGGCGACCACCTGCTTTGCAGATAGCCCGAAGACCGTATTTGAACCTCCATGGCCACAAGGGGATTTTTATTCCTCCTTCGATTTGAACCTGAGATCTCCTGGTACTTTTGACCTTTGGAGCCAAACTCAAAGCAATCAGACACGACCATTGTGGTTTTGGATATTATTATTTGTTATCTATAGGATCGGATTGGATTCATCCAATGTTTGGATACAATTTTCAACCGACCAATCCAATTTGAATGTTAAAATTTTGGATCGGATCCCATTGGATATCCGATTATGGTCAGTTGATTCTTATTATACCGGCCGGTTTAAATTGGATTTGATTACTCTGTACACGCCCCTATACATATACCTAAACGACTAGCTAAGTATTCCCGTAAACCACTTCAAAAATTTAAAATATCACAAAAAACTATATATGTTTTTTCATCGGATTATAAATCAAATAAAACAACTGACATTCAAATAAAACGATAGACTGCTAATCAGATACTTAAAATACGTTCTAACAGTATTATTATAATAGTTTATTTGCTGATCAAATACCT